AACGGGCTCGCAGTCAAATGGCTGCCGACCGAATGGCAACATCAGAAAAAGTTTTCGCATTTTCTTCGACTTGGAAAAAGCTTTGACCTTTCCCAAGCTGACCACAACCGTAGCTTATTATAAGCGTAATTTATATGTTTATAATATCGGATGTCATGTATTCAGTAAAAATATAAGCCACATGTTTGTTTGGCCAGAAACTGAAGGATCTCGTGGGTCTCAAGAAATTTCATCTTGTCTAATAAAGTACATAAAGACTTACGCTACAAACTTTGAAAAAATAATAACATATTCGGATTCGTGTACCGGGCAAAACAGAAATATTAAAACTGTCTTAAGTTTATTGAAACTTGTTCAGAGTATGGAAATAAGAGCTGAGTCAATTGAAATGAAATTTTTGGTAAGTGGGCACAGCTATTTGCCTAATGACTCAGATTTTGCCATTATTGAGTCACGTGCGAAAAAAAATCAAAACATTTTTTCACCAGATGATTGGTACAATATAATCAAAACATGTAAAAAGAAAGCTCCATTTCATCTAATCCAAATGACCCACCAAGATATTTTTTCAACAAAACCTTTAGAACAATCAATCATTAACAGAAAAGTAACCGTCACAGGCTTTCCAGTAAATTGGCTTAAAATACGCTGGATAAAATTAGAAAGGTCCAAACCCCATCTCATACAATTCAAATGTGATTATAATGAAGATACAGAATTTAAAGCCATTAATTTAAGAAAATCTGTATCAGGTAGACCGCAAAGTTTGAAAAATATATATCAGCCTTTATTATATCCTAAAGGCAGAACTGTGACAAGGGAAAAATGGAGAGACATGATGGACCTGCTAAAATACATTCCTCCTGTTGAACATGATTACTATAAAAACTTGACAACAAATCGAAATGACGAATCCTCACATCCAGCTGATGAAGAAGACATTATTTATAATATTTCTGATGAATTAATTACAAATAATATAATATAACAGAACTGTGAACATTCATGTTTATGCAAAAGCTGTAATAAAAATATATAATAACTAACTTTTTCTGTAATAAAAAACTTAAAAATTTAAAGACTGAATTTAACTTTACTACTTTTTTTCAGTTGCCAAATTGATTAACTCCACCAGTCACATAAAAGCTGTAACATTACTGACGATTATTTTTTGGCTATTCTTTCTTATTAATTTTATACAGCGTCAGATGAAAGCTATATCTGTATTTATGCATTCTACATTATATGTGTGAATCTATATTATAACAGGAATTTTAGAAAACAATGTACATCGTTTCATCGCGTTTCTCAACTTTTTCTTTTATGGAGTTAAGCGATGTGTGCACTGAACGGCTCATATAGTCTTGATCTCACACCATCGGATTACCACTTATTTCGATCCCTGGATAACTCCCTTCGTGGTAAAACCTTCAATGATGATGACGCTGTAAAATCTCACTTAACTCAGTTTTTGGCCAAAAAGAATCAGCCTTTCTACGAGCGTGGTATTTTCAAGTTGCCAGAGAGATGGCAAAAGGTCATCGATCAAAATGGAAAATACATTACAGATTAAACTTCATACCAAGTAAAAAAAAAAAATGTTTTATTTCATTGAACAAATCGGCAATTACTTAGTTGCCAATCCAATAGAATTCAATGTAGAATCTACTAAAGTGTGTATGATAATATGATCGTTTATTGATTAAGTACGGAAGAAAGTGTCCTATAGTATACAGTGAAAATAATAACAATATTTACGTTATTTTGCGAGAATTGTATAAACCTTTACCAAACTATAGATTACGGCTACGGAAAGCATTGTTAGAGTCCTACCTCATGCTTGGATACGACGCATGTGCGACAATTGACCAATAGTGGGAATGTCGACGCTGCAACAGGTAAGAATTGATGGGAGTTAAAGTTAAGTGATATCATGCGACTACCAAACCGTGTGGACAAATGGCAGACACATGTGAAGTATCGTCGCATTTTTTTCGAAACTGTATTAGAAAATCAAATAAATTAAACCCATGTACTACGATTTAAGTTTCAATAACGTGTACCACAAACAACAAGGTCGATTGCTGTGCCAATCGCACACGTTTTAAGGAATGTAAATACAGCGACCCACGTTAATATTCAGACACTTTTCAAAACGCAATAACATTTTTAGAACTGGACTAAATAACATGAATTTTTTTAAAATGATGCAGCGACCAGTCTACTAGGCCATAACTAGGATGTTTTCTTAAAAGTTGCTATTGCTTAGAATGACAAAAGAAAACAAAAAACTCTTGTTTTGTAACTTTTTTATCTGAGCCTACAACGAAAATTTAAAAAATTTGTTTTGTAGATCTCGGTACGTTATGTTAAAAATTTCATCGAAATCGGCTGACTTTCGTATGAGCTGTAAACAATTAAAGATCGTAAAAATCGCAGCACGTATCACGCTGGTTCCTGCGCTACCTCCCTTAGCTACTAATAAAACAATTAAATGACGAAAAACAAAAAACCACAAAACACATATCCCTTAGTCTAACACGAGCCTAACTAGTTATGTTTATATTTGGCCCGACTGACACACCACAGCTCTCATTTCGGGCCCGATATTTTTACCAAATATCAGTCTCAAATATCACGTCTCTCAGACGTAATAATCATTTCTGGCCCGATCATTTTATAACGTTCCTCAGACGTGATAATCATTTCTGACCCGATATTTAACCACGTCTCTCAGACGTGATAATCATTTCTGGCCCGATCATTTTATAACGTTCCTCAGACGTGATAATCATTTCTGACCCGATATTTAACCACGTCTCTCAGACGTGATAATCATTTCTGGCCCGATCATTTTATAACGTTCCTCAGACGTGATAATCATTTCTGACCCGATATTTAACCACGTCTCTCAGACGTGATAATCATTTCTGGCCCGATCATTTTATAACGTTCCTCAGACGTGATAATCATTTCTGACCCGATATTTAACCACGTCTCTCAGACGTGATAATCATTTCTGGCCCGATCATTTTATAACGTTCCTCAGACGTGATAATCATTTCTGACCCGATATTTAACCACGTCTCTCAGACGTGATAATCATTTCTGGCCCGATCATTTTATAACGTTCCTCAGACGTGATAATCATTTCTGACCCGATATTTAACCACGTCTCTCAGACGTGATAATCATTTCTGGCCCGATCATTTTATAACGTTCCTCAGACGTGATAATCATTTCTGACCCGATATTTAACCACGTCTCTCGGACGTGATAATCATTTTGACCCGATTATCTGACTACGTTTCTCAAACGTGGTTGTAGGGCAAAGGATTAAGTAAAGTTGTTGTTTAGAAATTGACGATTTATATACTAGTATCTAATGTTCTGTCGATTTTATTAATCTATACAATGATTTAATGTTTGTCTTATCTTATATTTTTATCTGCTCTAACGAACACTGCTGTTCAAATGCACGTATATCGACGCTTCCTTAATTACGATTGCGTAAAAATAGAAACAAATTCGTTCATGGCATTACGTGTTTTACTATATATTAGTAAATATATAATATTTTATCAATGATAAAATTATTTACTTCACAAATAATAACGACAATTTGTAAGCCGTAACCAGTTGAGAGCAAAGCTTAGGAACTATCTTCACGATATTATGTAAATTATTTTTAACTTGTAATTATTTAATGCGTGCAAAGGATTTCGGTAATTAAATTATTAAAAGTATGTTGAGACCCTTTCGTATATTATATTCACTTTTTTACAAGTAAAATTATCAATTTTATGGGTCTTAATCACCTTTTTTGCCAATAATATTCCCTTATTTANGAATTATTAATTCATATTAAAGTTAATAATTGAATAAACTTAGGGCAAATTTTGATCTGTAAGGCAGCGAATTTTATTTTCATACATGTAAAATTAATTTGGAAAACGGAGAATAAAATTTCCGAAAAAAATTTTTTATAAATGAAATTTACAAAAGAGAGAATATTATGGAGTAGAAAAATGTGAATACAATCTACAAAAGGATTAATTTGGAGTATAAAACCTGTAGAACTAATGGTCACATGTTCGTAAGATAATTTAATAATTAACGTCATTTAAGTGTAGTAAGTCATGAATGATTTTAATTATACGCTATATAGGGTCTTACACACGGAAAAGATTTCATTTTCTGGCTTGTAAAATTACGTTGTTAACGTTACCGCGTTACGTTATTTATATCCATGATCTATGCTCGAATGTATGCAGATAGACATCGCGAAACCTTCGACATTATCATGACAGTAACCTTGACATTGCGCTGCGTCGATCTTATGGACATACACATAAGCCGCATTCTGATAAATGATGTTGAACGGAAGCAGCTCGGAACATATGATCCAGTAGTATTAAATGAAAGGGGGGACGTAACATCTTTTGATTTAATATTACTTACTCGATTAAATACTCGATTTAATATTCGGACACCGTGGTGTTTGCTTAATTATTGCTCTAAATATTTATTTGAAATAATTTTTTTGAAATTTCTGGCACGTAATAGTTCAAACTACATATTTTAGTTTACAGATACGTAAAATTAATTATTGCTTTAATTTTTATTATCTTATAGATAACGAATTATACAGGGTGTCCCAAAAATGTCTCGCAGTTCGGAAGTGGGGGAGCTGCAGCATTCAAGCATATACAGGGTGTCACAAAAATGTCTCTTAATCCGGCAATGGGAGGTTCCTGAGGTCATTCGAAGTAACTTTTTCCTCAGCGAAAGTTCAATTCGCGGCTTTGTTTACGAGTTATTAACGAAAAACGTCGACCAATGAGAGGCGACCCAGCCAACGACCGTACGAAACCTAGTTCCGCTCATTGGCTCGGCCGTCTCGCGCTAACTGATCTTATCTCGTATTGGTCTCGCCCCACTCCGGCGATTGAAATACAACGTCAGGCTTCCACGACCATATTTCATCTCGTCGGTTCCATATTATTTATTTTGGAATTATTGACAGCCATTTTCGTCTGCTCGTATCAGAAACATAAAACTGACTCTCATTCGCAAAGATCACATCGTTCCACCATGATTGTGCTTTAAAAATAAATTCTTTAACGAATGTTAAACATCTCTTGCGATCGATTTCGTGTACGGCCTTTTTCAAGCAACTCGACCATTGTAGCCTGCTTCTTTTAAAGTATTACGTACTGTATCCACGTGCATTGAAATTTCTCAGTAAACCGATCCATAGAAGCGGACTGAACTGCGTCACACACACGCTCTTGATGTTTACAAACATTTATGAGGCATCTATGAAATGACCTTCTAAAGCGAATAAGAAGTGAGATGTATCGGATGTACGAATATTATGTTAACATTAAAATTGGGTAAAATTTCATTCACAATCCATTATGTATAAAATAATGAAAAATAAAGTAATTAATTTTATATATTTGTAAACTAGAATATGTACTTTAAACTATTATAGATCAGAAATTTCGACTGAACTATTTTAAATAAATATATCGAGCATTGATTACGCAAGTATGACGAATATTAAATCAAGTAACTGTAAATGTATTTCAATCTGAAATATTCTGAGCAATTTCATGTTATTGTGCTGCTCGCAAAAATCTTTTTACAAAGAGCACCTCAAGACACGTGGACGTACTTTTCAGAACTTTAATATGTAATTGGAGATGTGCCTTCTATTTAAAATCAATTTACATATATGATGAGACGAAATTTAGAAATTTAGAATTTCTTATGTCTCAAGAAATAATGATCGTGGTACAACAATTAATAGATTGCTGGGGGAATAATGTTAAAGATATATTATATATCAGTTTATTTGTCTTATATTATGTTTAGAGAGAGAGAGAGAGAGAGAGAGAGAGAGAGAGAGAGAGAGAGAGAGAGATTTTATGATTACAAACATTTAAAGTAAATGTTATGGTTAACGTGAAATTACGTAGCTGTATAACATTTTTTTTTTTAGTGAATGTAAATATTACAAATGCTCGTTGATTCAATTTCAGACCTTAATACGTAAAACAAAAGGAAAATTTAT